CGTCAGACATCGATTTCCGGTCCCTACACGTCACTCCGATTCCAAAAATACCCATATTGTGGGGTATTTGGCAGAATTTCCAAGTTTTTATGTTACCGGAAGCCACCATATTGGATTTCAAAATAGCGTCAGATATTGATTTCCGGTTCCTACACGGCATTCCGATTCCAAAAATACCCAATATTGTGGGGTATTTCACAGTATATCCCAGTTTCCCAAAATCACAAAAAAAAACTCGTTATTTGGAATTTACTTCGTAAAAAGAAAACTCGTTATTTGGGATTTACTTCGTAAAAAAAAAAACCTCGTTATTTGGGATTTACTTCGTAAAAAGAGGGACGTAAATTGAATACTATATATATATTCAAGGTTGCAAAGACTCATTTCAGCTAAAACAATGTTTTTCTAAATTATGAAATAATTAGATGCCATGATCAAATTTTGAATTGGTAGGATACAAGAAGAGGTTGCAAAGAATGTGTTTGACATATTAAACCTGTTTATTTCACTTCATGAGAGTCACAATCAGCGATTTTTCACAAACTCACTCACTCACTCACTCACTCACTCAGCGGTCAGCAAATCGCTGATTGCGACTCATAGAAAGCAAAATTTACAGGTTTTATGTTTCCAACGCATACTTTGTAACCTCTTCTTGTAAGTTACAAGTAAAACATGCCATCATACCATCTTTTGGTTTTATTATTTCGAAAAACATTATTTTAGCTGAAATGAGTCTTTGCAACCTTGTATATATTTATAATTTCCTGAATCTTCTTAAGTTTTCAGATCAATCATAGAATTCTCGAAATATCCCATAATTCCAAGGACCTCCTTGTAAGTCACTGCAAATTTCCTTAAGTTAATGGGATTTTTGAAATTTTATCTGATCGTCCTCAAAGTACTTGGAACTTCACTGAATATTGCGAAACAATCTAAAAATATCTCAATTTCTTAGAAGTTCTCTGGAATTTCATGAAAATATCGGTGCTTGCTAAAAGATCTAGCGTTTTTTTTTAAATTATTGGAATTTAGTTGATGTTATCTAAACAACTTAGTTAAATTTTCGATATTTTTAGATCTTGAAATTTCCATGATATAACACCCGTGAAATACCTACTCTCACATTTTCTGGATGTTCATATAATTTTTATTGCGTTCCAGACATTTATCTGAGCAAACCGAAGTTTTCCTGAAATTCCCGGAAATTTTCTTGAAACTTCTTCAAGGTTTCTGCAATTTCCTTGTTCCTGTTTTGATGTTCTCGGAGCTTCCCTAAAACTTTCGTGAACACCTTTAAACTTCCCTGGAATTCTCTGGATTTCTGTGCAGTTTCTGAAATATTTCTGAAGTTTTCATAAATGTTCTGAAGGTCTCTGTACCGAATTTCTCGGAATATCTTAAGGGTTCTCGATTTTCCTGAATTTGTCTAAACTCACGCTTATAGATTTTTAAACCAATCCAATAGTTTGGACTTAAATTTTAGGGTTTTTTTGTGAGATAAATAGAACTTCTTAAAAGTTTCCTCAATTTTGCTAGTACGAAACTTCAAGACATTAAAAATGTTGTGATGAGCATGGGCATGAGCATGATTGACCGCCCACGGTTGCTACTCTGTTATTGCCAGACCAGCTGTATTTACACAGAGAACCAATAGACGATGCTTGGGACTAGCAATCATCCTCAATGTGTAAAAACTGGTGATCTCGAAATAGGCAATACCAGCGCCAGCCGCGCCTGAACGCAGGTCAAGAAAGGAATGGGTAGGAATGTGTTGACGTGACACTCGCTTTGATGGAAGCCGAGGAGTCCTCTGCACTTCCACGAGGAATCACAGGGATGTTGGGTAAGAGGGTTGGGTATGCAGCAGGGTTCGTTTTGGTAAACGATAAGCTGAATTTATGTCCTAACGATCGTATAACACGAAGGAGCTTGGGATTGAACCCGCGGTTTTCTGCTCAGTAAGCAAAAACGTTTGCTACTAGGAAAACGAGCTCCTTTTTAATCATCGAGTAGCTGTTATTACCATGTAGTCATATTAACAAATAAAACGATTGACGAATCTTGATGTGGATGGGCTTGAGATTAGACTCAGGATGTTCTGCTCAATAAGCAAAAACGGTTGCTCTAAGGCCACCGAGCCCCTCATATCACATCATACCGTTACTCAAGTTGTTATAACTATTCAAACCCAGCACCGACGACAACGAAATGTTTAGCAAAATGCACGATAAACAAGCGATCTTACCATACATTTTTAATATGAAAGGACCTGGGACCGCGTTTTTCTGCTCAGTAAGCAAGCCACTGCAATTGACGATCTTTCAAATCCGAAAACAAAAGGCTACGAAAAAGTATTTAGGCCTTGATTAAATTCCTCTATCACGCGACATTCAATGTTTCAATTTGCTCTTTACGCATTGTTCAGGCAATCGTAACAAGCTATGACCGACGTGACGATTGTTTAAAATAATATGAGTAATATGAGTATTATTGTACAAATTACAGTACATTGTAGAAGTTACCTCATTATTCTGCTGCGCCATCGGTTTTTATTTCTGGATCTTGAGTTGTTTTGGTGATATATTTACTTGCGGCATACTATTTTGGGCGCCCATATAGGCGTGTACTATGTAGGGTAGCTCATCTCTCTACGGAACTTGCAGAAACTCAAACTGAATGGGTCAAAGCCATTTACACCGAAAAATTCGAGAAGAAGGTCAGGGTTTGGCAGATTATTACCCTTCATCAGGAATGATGACAAACCTGTAATCTTTATCCTGATCTTGCTTCCTGCCACTATAGTATTCCAAGGATTCGCTAAAAGATGTGCTAAAAGAGACGAATCCGCCAAATTGCCTGAGGCTCGCCCTATCGACACTTTCTGAGCTTTGACAAAGGCAAAGCTTAGAAAACATGTTAAACCAGCGGATACAGTTCAAAAATTCAAGAAAGATTGGTTTAAAGTGGTAAAGGTACTGTGAAAAAGCTAATGAGCAGTGTCAATGGTAAAGTTAGAAAACTCGGCTACTCTCGATAAAATCCTGCAAATTGAATTTATTTGTGAATGAAAACATGCACATTTGGAAACAGCTTTTGGAAATAAAATGGCCTAAAACTTTACACAAGTTTTATTTAATTCACTAACGGAACAATCTATATTATAAGCTGTTTACAAGATTCAAGAACTTTTTTGATACATTGTTCTTGTACCACGAAATACGCTTACAACACTAATACAAAACTAATTCTCTCAATAAATTAGTGTTCTGTTATTCAATATTGCGAAGTTCCTCTCACGTGACATATTTTCCGAACCTTCCTCGGTATTCCTTTGAAATAACTCTCAGAACACCTTTTCAATTCTGCTTGCAACTCTTTGCGTACTCTCATCTGAATTCTCTTAGAAATCTCGTTGAAATTATCCTGCTATTCTCCTCATGATTCTTACTAAATTCTCCTCAGAATCACTTTAAAATTCAATTTAGAATTTTCTTTCTCCTCCACAGAAATCCCTTGGAATCCATCTCATAATTTGTTGGGATGTTATCTCAAAACTATGTTGGAATGTTGGTCAGGGCTGCTTCAGAGTTTTCCCACATTTGTTTTAGAGACACTTCCTCAGTTTGTTTCTTAGAATTGTCACTTTAATTCCTTTTAAATCCTTCCGAAAATTTCCAGTTTTCGCGGAAAAATTCTATTAATTAAAATTAAAAGTTAATAACATCCCAACATTTCAAGTCCCAAGAATTTTTTTTCAGGCAAAATCTGGGATCATGAAAATTTTTAAATGTCACACATTTTGAGTTCTTCCTCCGTTCTAGATTGAAGAAAACATTTCCATTAATTTCTTTGGTAATCTTAGATCACGGAGAGTTTTGTAGTTACAAATTTCGAAAGAATGTCATAGTCTAAGACATGAGTCAAAGCCTCACAACCATGGAACTTGTCTGAAATCACAATTTTTTTAAGATTTCTACGGAGTGTTAACAGATTTTCTCCCTTGATTGAGGTCTCCAAGTATTTTCCCTACATTCCATTTGTAATTAAATTCAAGTTTTTTTTTAAACAATTTCTTAATCCAATCACTGTTTACAATTTGGTCTAGAGGCCCATTTAGACCGACAGTGTTCGGTCTAGTTTCCTTCGAAAATGTATCTATTTCACACAGTGGCGTCCCGTAACCTCACTTTTCACCTGTGCACCAACTTTCAAAACCAGATTTAATGCCATATTCATACTCGAATCGGTAGAAAAATACACTTAATCTTCTAGTTTACTCGATATCTATCCATTGCAAGCTCAAGACATTAAAAATGTTGTGATCTTAGACTTACTGAAATGAAGTGAAGCTGTTTCTTCAAAACTGGTTTTCATGTCTTAAAATAGTTTGCGTTAATTGTTGTTGTTGTTGTTTTACAGAAACAAACATATTTTCAACGCATTTCATAAATATCTATTTTATTATTAACCTGGAAATTAACCGCCAAAGTTATGGAAAACCCTGGAAAACTCTGGGAACTTTATTAAGCCAACTTCGAATTGTTCAAAAATAAATTCACTTTAAAAAAAGTTTTAAATAGTGACTGATTACAAGAAAAAGTGACTTTAGTGACTTGGCCTTAAAAAAGGAGACTTTTTAGTGACTTGCTTGAAAAAAAAAGTGATCAAGTCACTAAAAAGTGACCCGCTACTAGCCCTGTAAATTTTACATAAAATATGAATCATAGTGACATTTTTTATGGAACATTCTCACGTTTTGGGCTTTGGCCCAAACCATTTGGGCTTTTTTTAAGGAGGGTTTATCATGTTTGCCGTTTTCGCTCATTTAGGTATTTGTGGTAGGCAAGCGTCGTCATCAGCGAGTCTACTTTTAAAGTGATCTTGCATTCCGATCATATTTAACGATCAGCAAATGTCACAGAGCAAAGCTGTTCTATTGCGTTTGCTATAAAATTCAACGAAAGTAATGACATTTCTCATTTTCAAAATATTATATTCATTGGATCAGCACTAATTAGTAGTTTACAATCACCTGCCATTAAGGATGCCCGGAAATACTAAACCATCTCAGAGAAAGGTATGTTTTCTTTTGTTTTTGAACAAATGTTCATTTGAAATATTACGATTTTCTTCGTAGGGCAAAAGAAGAAAACAGGATCATCAAGAACCTGATGAACCGTTGCATAAAAGGTCGAAAAACGATGCTTTCGATTCGAATCGCACTGTGCCACCGGGAGTACCATCTGCAGCGAATCCGCAAAGCAGCACAATTGACGCACCTCAGTTTCACAATGCAGTGGAACATAATGTGGGAAGGCCCTTGGAACGACCTACGCTATTTGCTCCGTCTGTTCCACCAGGACAAGTACTACAAACACAACGAATGTTTGTTCCATCCAGATTTCGTCATCCAGGATTACCGATAATGAACCTACAAAGCCACCAGATTCCAGGTCTTCAAAATATTCGACCTGGCCTACGACCACAAATTATTCCTAGCCAGATCAGAACACCAACAGGAATCTACTACGGGCATATAGTGGTACAACCGGGCGCCAGCATCAGACAACCGATCCCCGTAGTTATGTCGCCAAATTTTAACCCTAGGCCTAGAATCCCGATGGCAAACGTTCGACCGCACAATCCAAGAGGACCGGCACCTGTGGTCTTCAACCACCCCGGGTTGAACGTTCCACCAAATTTGCAACAACTTAGCTACCGTGCTCCAACACCCACAATAGATGCCACTCAACCGCAAGAGAGGCCAACCGCTTCAAAGCACGCAGAACGATACTACCGTTGTACTGAATGTTTAGAACGCTTTCCGACGATCACCAAACTGGACAATCATCAGCGGATACACCAAGGGAAACCGCAGGAAAGACGCATCCTATGTGCGGATCCGAAGTGTAAGAGTTTGTTTAAGGACTTCCTGGAATTGGATAAGCATTTTAAGGAGTGTCATCTCCAATTGGACTTGGAGTGCGATGTTTGCGGTCAGAAGTTTATCAACAGCTGTGATCTGAATAATCATAAGGAAAGGCATAATTGAAATTGGACGATTATTTAATGAAAAGTCAAATCGACTAGAAGGAAGGAGCACACATTGAATTTTATTAGATATTGACAAATTACCTATCAAAGTAGAAAAAAAATACTAAACTTCATCCTTCCTCCCGTGTCTGATTTCATGCATCGCCAGCAAATCGTGCCTGAAGAACTTCAATCCACAGACCTTACAAGCAAAATCGACAGCCGTAGTGGCGTTGGTGGTGTTGCCGTGATGTTTAGACTCATGCCTGCTCAAATCGTGCCTGTAGAGAAACTGCTTCGGACATCGGCCGCACTTGAATGGCTTATCCCGTATGCTGTGGCGTCGCTTGTGCGCCTTCATCTTCAGCTCCGCATCGAACCGCTTTCCACAGACTTCGCACCGATGTGTCCTCGGTCCCGAATGGTGCGCCCTGCAGTGCTGAGAATAGCTGCTCTTGGTTCCGAAATTTCTACCGCACGGTTTACAGATTAACTTACTGTGCTTGTTGAGCTGCAGTCGGCGCTTGTCGAAAAATTTCGGCAAGACGTCTTCAATCGGATCTGGATCCGCACTCACTGTCGTCGGTTCAGGACCCGGCGACGCAGAATCGGTTGGTGAGAGATTTCGCGACGCCGGTGTAATTGATTCCAGTTCGGGCATCTCATCGTCTTCGTCGTGTTCATCGGCTTCCCAGTGGAAAGTGTTGACGTAGGCCAGGATGGCATTACAATTTTGTTCGGGAGACAAACTGGTTGAAATGATTTCCCTCAGTTTGACCTCTGACAGAACCCGCTCGTGAAGGGTAATGAACTCATTGGACGATGACGATTCATTTGTTTGACCCTGATCTTCGCCGGTGGTGAGATTCATGGCGTTTCTTACAATGCAATCTGACAAAATTGGAAGCTTTCGGGACACTATTGAATTACGAATGCTGCTTAAAATCCCTGACTAACAGTTAGCAATAGCAAAATCAAAACACGCATAACGAAAAAAAAAAAAAATACAAATTGAAATGATCACATTCGATCAGAAATCACATTACACCTAGAAAAGAGTTACGGAGAATAATATAATGCTATCAAGCGTCCTTCCAATACCGTAGCACTGTGTAGCCAAAGCTTCGTCAAGTTTTATAACACTTGCACAATCATCTAATACAGATACAGAGCAAAACAACCCGGGTACAGGGGAATAGTAGAACCAGAGCAAAATAATATCATATTTCTTATTGGCTGGTGATTTTAATATTAATTGGCATGATAACCATAATTCGAATCATTTGGAGCGTTTAGCTGAGTTTTTTTTAATTTAAAGCAAACGGTAAATGAATATACGCGTATTTCCAGGCACAGCAGAACTTTAATTGAACACGTTTGTTCTAATTTTGATTCCATTTGTTCAGTTACGGATACTGATTTGAAAATAACCGATCATGAGACCTTAGTGATTAATGTCTTAGACCATGTTAACGATAACGATAGTTTTGTAAAATTGAAGTGCTGGAGGAAATAATCGAAGCAAGCTGTTTCGAATCTTGTTGAGAGGAGCGTGGATTTTCCATTCGCGGCCGGTAACTTAGATGAATCAACGACTGTTCTTAATAACGCTTTGAAAACGTGTACCAATCAACTAGTTGAGCAAAAGTTTGTTTCTTTGAAAAACTCGAACAGCTGGTACAATTTGCTAGATGCGTCTTAAACGGAAAAGGGACAAATGGTACACAAAGTTTTGTAGATCAAATAATGACAATCATTGGAATAGGTACACAATCGCGCGTAATAAGTATTCACAATCGATAATGAAAACTCTTAGTGAATATGTGCAAAGGAAAATTGATCAGCATCAAAACAACAGCAAAGAGTTATGGAAAATTTTGAAATCTTTATTAAAACCTAGTAATTGCAAACCGCGGTCCATAACTTTTAATGGCACGTTAGAACAGTCAGAACAAGTAATTGCAGCTAAGTTTAATGATTATTTTGTAGACAGTGTTTCATTGATTAATCAATCCATTAAATTGTTCGATGAACCTGACGAAATAAAACAGCCAGTTGATAGTAGTTGTAGATTTGAAGTTTTTCACCCAATTACATTAAATGAACTTAGAGTTATTTGTTTTTCATTAGGAAGATTCAAGATTGCTTTCATGTCATTGGCCACATCTTCCTTTATTGAACGTCGGTCTCTGTTCCACAATCTAGTGCCAATCACCGACGGACATCGATTGCCATCCATTGACGACAATCGAATGTGCAGGAAGGCAGATTCCACACCTGCGTAGAATATCGCACCCATTCAAACACACATGGGCCGGGACCAACGGTTTTACTTCCCTTCCGAAGGAAGACGTGACCAGAGATTTTTATACCTCAGAAAAATCCCACCGACCTCGGCTGGGATTGAACCCACACCCATTGGGGTGAGGAAGCAGTCTCGCTTACAACTACACCACCGACGCCGGCCATTGGCCACATCTTGCTGGACCTTATTAATGAATCATTACAAACTGGACATGTACCACAAATTTGGAACGAATCCTTAGTGGTCCCTATTCAAAAAGTTGCTGGAACGATTAAAGCCGAAGAGTTTCGTCCCATCAACATGTTGCACACATTAGAGAAAATTTTAGAACTTGTTGTTCAAGGCCAGCTGTTGGAGTGTTTAAGTAGTAATAATTTGTTGATTCCAGAACAATCGGGATATTGGGAAGGTCATTCTTGTGAAACCGCGTTGAACTAGGTATTAGCGAAGTGGAAAAATAACTTGGAGTGTAAAGATACGATTGTTGCTGTTTTTTTGGATCTTAAATGTGCTTTTGAAACAATTTCTAGGCCCTTATTATTAAGATCAATCACGCGCTTTGGAATTACGAGTACTGCATATAAATGGTTTGAAAGCTATTTGTCTGACAGAACTCAACGGACATTGTTCTGTTTGCAGTCCCGTGGGGAATAACCTTGGAGTGCCCCAGGGAAGTGTATTAGGGCCCCTGTTATTTATTATGTATATTAATGACTTGCGACGTGTTTTACGATTTTGCGACATTAATCTTTTTGCAGATGATACTGTGTTATTCATTGTAGCTAAGGATTTAGATGATGCCGTTTTACACTTGATTGAAGATTTGCATTCTTATGGTAATTTCGCGGAATAGAGTAAATGAGAACGTCTCTGTTGTAATTGATGATGAGACTATTGATCCCGTTCGGGAGATTAAATATCTTGGCGTGATTATTGATGACACACTTAAGTTCAACTCTCACATTGACAATGTCATCAAGAAAATTGGAATTCTATGTCGACTGAAAAACGATTTAACTATTGCCAGTAAAATACAGCTCTACAAATCAATCATATCTCCTCATCTAGACTTTTGCCCTTCCATATTATTTCTGGCCAATGCAACACAAATATCGAGATTACAGCGCTTGCAGAATAAAATAATGCGTTTGATTTTGAGATGTAATAGATTCACTTCCTCAACTTTGATGCTAGACGCCTTACAATGGTTGTCGGTGAAGCAAAGAATTGTATATTTGACTATGGTGTACATTTTTAAAGTAGTTAACGGTTTGCTGCCTCGATATTTGTGTGATCGAAATGAAAGAAGAAGAAGTGACTTTCATAGATATAAAACTAGAAACGCGGTTGAAATAAGAACACCACATTTCTTGACTTGTGCTTCACAAAATTCATTATCGTATAAAGAAATAAATGTTTTCAATTCGATGCCTAGACATATCAAACGTTCAGCAACACTTAAAGCTTGCTTCATTTAGAATTGGAACAAACTTTTGCTCATATTGTGGTGCTCCTGGTGGACGGATTTGGAATTTCTTGGCGCCCACGTGTCGGGAATTTTGTCAGCTTCACGTATGTATTTTTGACATTCCGCAAATCGACTGTACTTTGTAAACAATCAACATGGAAGCCGAAAGAAGGGAAAAAATTGTGCACAGTTATTTGGAAAATCCATTGTGGTCTGCATCTAGGCTAGCTAAACAGCTGAAATTGCCCAGAAATACCGTATGGCACGTTATCAAACGGTATAAGGAAACATTGACGACGATTCGGAAGCCTCAAGCCAATCGTTGGAGTGGAACTGTCGACCGGAAACTGCGTGGTAAGATTTTGAAGACGATTAAGAGGAATCCCAATCTGTCGGACCGTGATTTGGCCAGAAATTTCGGTGCTGCCCATAGTACCGTGAGAAGAACTCGACTCCGGGAAGGAATCAAGTCGTATCGAGCTAGCAAACAGCCAAATCGGACCATAACACAGAATAGTGTGGCCAAAATCCGTGCGCGGAAGCTATACGACCAGGTGCTGACCAAGTTCGACGGGTGTCTTCTGATGGACGATGAAACCTATGTCAAGGCTGACTTCGGGCAAATCCCAGGTCAAAAATTTTACTTGGCAACGGCTCGGGGGGATGTTCCAGCCAAATTTAAATTTGTTTTTGCCGACAAATTTGCACGAAAATTTATGATTTGGCAGGGCATTTGCAGCTGTGGCAAAAAAACGAAAGTTTTCGTTACAAATAAGACAATGACGTCGGAACAATACCAAAAAGAGTGTCTCCAAAAACGAATTTTGCCGTTCATTCGATCCCACGACTATCCCGTAATGTTTTGGCCAGATTTGGCAAGCTGTCATTACAGCAAATTCGTTCAAGAATGGTACGCAGAGAAAGGGGTCCAGTTTGTTCCGAAAAACCTTAACCCACCCAACTGCCCCCAGTTCCGCCCTATTGAGAAATACTGGGCAATCATGAAGAGGAGACTCAAGGCAAAGGGAAAGGTTGTCAAAGACATCAATCAGATGAAGACCTGGTGGAATAAGATAGCTAAAACGATGGACGAAGAAGGTGTGCGCCGCCTATTGAGCCGTGTTACAGGAAAAATTCGAGAATTCATTCGAAACCGTGATGAATAATTTTATCCGTATTTTTTCTTAAAAGTACGAAGAAAACGCTACATTTGTATAAAAAAGATCTTGAATTCAATAATAAATAACTGAAATACAGGCAATT